TGAATAAAGTGAGAGACAAAAAGCTATAAACTGTGAACCACAGTTTGAGGGGGCTGATACGGGATGGGTGCTGGCGGGATCGTATACGTGTCACTTCTGTATCCGCAGAATTGCATCCAAGAGATGTCTGTTTGTCTCCGTGTCCCTCCAAACTAACCTGGGCTGTGGATTTACAGTCAAGCCATGCGAGGTTCATGCAGGGGCAGATGCAAAGGTTCCTTGTTCATGATGTTTCATAGCTGCCAGTATTTACAGCCAGTAGTGGCTGCAGGTTGCCTTATCCTCCTATCAATTTGTCCGATCCCCCTTGGGTGATGATTTCTTGTTTGAGGTAGATTTCTCACTTGAAGGAAGAAAGGCATGCCACTGTGCCAGCTAAGGGATCCCACCCCCACCCCCCAAAAAAGATAAGAGGAAAAAGAAAAAGAGAAGCCAGGTTTTTCTTTCCTATATGCCTGCATGCAGAAAGTCTGTGGATGGGTGTGAGATGTAAGGAAGGTTTCATAGAACAGTAGCACTTCAAGGAATTCTGAGAGGTCCCCACTCTTACACACTCACACTTTCACTGCTGCACAGGAGATGTATCTTCCTTTTATGTTTGTTTTCAGTACGCATGCATTGCCTGAAAAGCAGGTTCTCAAAGAAAGAGCAAGAGGAAAAAAATTGCATATTTTTAACATTTCTAATCTGCCGCCTTAATTCCAGGCAGCGGCAGCAGTAGCAGCCTTCTGCTAATGGCAGCAGAAATCACCAGGAGAGAGAGGGAAGGAGGGAGCCTCGAAAGTCATCTCTTTTGGAAAGATGTGTCTGGTGGGCTGCAGGTATGGCTTTGTATGAGTTAGAATACAGAGTGAGGTTGCCATATTTGACAGGGTTTCTGGGATTTTAATAAGGGGCAAAGGGGAAATTTTACATGATTCATCTCCTTGCCCCTTGCTGCTCAGTGTTTCCCTGTGTTATGTAGGTCTCCACTTACCGAAGAAGTAAGAAATTCTGAGATGGAGAGGTGGAACTATTTACAGGACCAGTTTCTTTTACCATTTTTATAGCATCTCTTCATTTATTCGTTAATTATTATTTATTTATTAAATTTCTATTCAGTAATTTAAAAATCCACAAGTTGAACAAGCACCAAAACAGATAATGCTAGCTTTTAAAGTACCAGAAAGCTTTCCTTCGCAAAGCACAGCATATCCTTGGAATTGCCTGGTCAACTGCAAATCCTCTGATGTCCACCTTCTTTGCTGGCTACATTCAGTTGCAGACTTTTTCTTCAGGGCATGATAAATGACTTCAGCAGCTAGGGACCAGTCATTAAAGGCCATTGAGCAGGAATATTCCAACCATGAGTACCCAGTGAAAATAAAATAAAATAAAATCTGAAGGTGTTAGCAAAACAAAAGCTTGAAGTAGTTCTGTTTTTATGTGGAACTGCACAGCTCTGTTAAGGTTACCACCATGCACATAATTAGGCCATTCATATTCCATTGAAGTTACTGTCAAGGAGCTCTGCCCATGACTTTGTTTGCACACAGTGCTAGACCAAACCATGGTTTAGCACAAACAAGTAAACGTGCAAGCTCCCAGAGAGGAGCTCACAGCTGTTTTGCTCTTTGTTTTGCTGCTGTACTGTAGAAAGCTAAGCCACGATTTGGTTTAGTGTGTTGTCTAAACATAGGCTTGTGTTGGTGGGGCGTTTTATCCCAAAGCATCAGGAACATATCAGGTTTGGGTGAGGGCTGATTTCAAGGAACGGTTCTTGTTCACGAGTCCCCACTTCTCCTGATTTAGGAAGGGGAGCTGTCCAGTTCTGTATTGAAACAAAGAGGCTCATGGGTTTTCAAAACATGGTGGAATGGAAACATGTTGTATTTGTTTGTTTGCTTGGTTTAAAAAAAAATTGGCAAAAATAGGCATGGCTAGGAAATGGCCAGAAGGATTTTCTTAATCAGAGGTCGCTATTGTTTGCCTTGTTTGCTCTGTGGCTAAGCATTGCATTAAAGATTACAGAGTTAAAGTGTCACCTCTGTCATTGGACAGCTAGAAACTGAAAGCTAACTCGGTCACTGAGAAGAAGGCAGGCATAATCGGATGGAGGGGGATTAACTGCTCTGTCTGTTACAGCGCACAATGAAGTTAGTATCTCCAGAGGAATAAGAGCCAGATGACTTAGAAGTGTGTGTGTGTGTTTTGCTCTTGCTTTCTGTACTGCAGTGTCTTCAGACGTATCTTGCCCCTGTTGCTTACCAGCATGCAACTACTGCTACAATTACAAAAATAAAAATAAAGCCTACTCTTGCTCCTCAACTGTGCAAAATGCATTTCAGGCTAGCTTTTCTTACCGACGTATCGCACATGTGGAACTTGGGTCTGTCTGCTGCGTGTGGCACACAAGATTCGGTGGAGTCCCTCATTTAAGGCATCTGCCAGGCCCGAGCTGGGAACATGTGTGATGCCTCTGCATCTCCCTACGGCTTAAAAGCAGAAGGCCTTACCAGCATAGGTTACTCAGTGCTTGGGGTGCATGTGTGCATGCTAGGACCCTGGTATAGACTGAGCTATCTCATTTCTGAGCCTTTAATGGCATGAACACGGGATGCGGGTGGTGCTGTGGGTTAAACCATAGAGCCTAGCTTGTCGATCAGAAGGTCGGCGGTTCGAATCCCCGCGACGGGGTGAGCTCCCATTGCTCGGTCCCTGCTCCTGCCAACCTAGCAGTTCGAAAGCACGTCAAAGTGCAAGTAGATAAATAGGTACCGCTCCGGCAGGAAGGTAAACAGCGTTTCCGTGTGCTGCTCTGGTTCACCAGAAGCGGCTTAGTCATGCTGGCCATATGACCCGGAAGCTGTACGCCGGCTCCCTCGGCCAATAAAGCGAGATGAGCGCCACAACCCCAGAGTCGGTCACGACTGGACCTAATGGTCAGGGGTCCCTTTACCTTTACCTAATGGCATGAAACACCCTGCAAATTTATGTTGTGTACTATACATAGCTGCTTAAACAGGACAAAACCAAAAGATGGCAATCAATGAATTTGCACCAGTGTCTTGGACAAAACATCACAAGTGCATTTTGAATAATAAAGCCATTGGTTGTAGCCTATTCTGTCCCCATAAGTCAGGGCCGTCAATGTTTTGGGCTGCAAGTCCCATCAGCACCAACTGGTATGGCTTGTGGTCAGGGATCATAGGAGTTGGAGTCCTGACAACTACATTGGCTCTCCTTGCAAATTAGACATCTTTACTTAATTTATCATGTCAAACAAGTCTGGGAGTTCAGTTTTCAGAATTTCCTTTCTGTCTGAAAGCTTAGGAGAAAGAACCTGTTTTAAATGTGCCAGTAAGTGATGGGAGTGGGAGGTTAAATTCCAGAGCTATGAATTTATTGACTTTAAACACTGCATTTGCAGTCCCACGTTGAGTTAGCAAGGCATGCTGAAGTCAGTTGAAATCCAAGAGTTTAAAGACACTTAATTCACTACTGGATTGTGGTCTTATTTAAATGTTGGAGAAGAGCCACATGGCAGTAATTTTGAGTCCAGGATTGATCTACCTGTTCAGCCTACTATTCGTTGGCATGCTAGCAAATATGGGATTGGCGTGTTAGTATGCATAGTTTTCTGTGTTTACAATGGGGATGGAGGACCTGAAACCCCCCCCAATGTTGTTGGACTCCATAAACCTCAAGGTGTGCTCACCTTGGAGGCATTAACAGGGCAGGATGTCTTTATGCAGATGTTCATCTCTTGGCTAGAGATGAATTAGGAACTGCTTAAGGACTCCAATCTGTGTTAAGCTAGTTTGAGAAACAATGCCTTGAAGGGTAATATCTTGTAACAAGCTACAGGAGACACGTGGTTTTGGGATAACATTGTGCAAATACTGATTAAAAGCCCAGCGCTGGATGTGAATGTACAGTAAATAGGAATGTGAACGCAGCCTCAGTCAGCATGGTCAGTGGTCAGAGATGATGGGAACTGTAATCCAATATTTTGAGGGTCACAGGTTCCCAGTCCATGATTTACAACAATCAAAGTGTTGACTGGACTATTGGGGGGGGGGGGCTTGTGAGGGTAGAGGAGATATGTGTGTGATCATTCTCCCAATGACTTTAAGGAGATGAGATACCCCGATGCTTTAGATTTTAGAGAAACTCACAAATATAGTTAGTAATCAAAACCCTTCTCCTACCTGTATATGGGATTTGATGTGGTTCCCCATTCCTTCCCCATGTGCCCCCACAATTCACTTGGGGGTTGTTGGAAGACACACACACCCCCGAACATTATATGGGGGGAGGGTGATTGTTCCATCTGGCAAGCTGATATACTTGTGCAGACAGAACATTTGTAATAGTGTGACATGGAATTCCATCCTATGTTGATAGATGCAGCAGGCATCCAAAAGGATTTCGGGGAAACTGCTTTAATGTTTGCACCTTTAACATTCTAAACCGAGAAATTACATGCAAATTAGCACAATAATAAATAGGGTCTCCAATGCCTTCCCATTAACAGCTAACCTTTAATCAGCAAGCAGGAAGCCAATTTCAAACTTGAAACATGAGCAAAGGTCACAAGTTAAAGGTCACATCCCATAAACGTGGAGCTAATAGACCAGGTACAGCTGAAGGTTGCGGTTAGAAGCAGCTGTCTCTGAGCTACAAGGCTAACTCAAGAGATCAAAGGCAGCTGTTTCACAGCTGGTTGTTTCATGGGCGTCCTGAGGTAATCAAGATATAAGTTATAAGGTCTAAAATCTTCATTGCTCCCATCTTGAGGAATGTTAGCATTTCCTACAGGTAACAGTGTGTGTAGCATGAAGCAGGGAAAGAAGATATTAACTATGTCAGTTCAAATTAATTTATGCAAGTCATGCATATCGTTAAGGTACTTGTTTTAGGGCGAAACCACAAGGAGATTCTGCCAGGAGATCCATGACCAAAAAAGTGTTACTTCTTTTCTTTTCTTTTTAAAGAAAACTAAATGGGGAACTTGATCAGGGCAATAGCATGAGGACCCTTTCCCTCCCCATCTCCCAAGGAAATAGCCCATGGAGGCAGAGTGGAGCAGGGAAAAGAAACAGATCAGTAAAATGACCTGAGGGAGAAATTACACCCCCACCTGCTTCACTTATCTATCTATCTATCTATCTATCTATCCATCCATCTATCTATCTATCCATTTATTTATTTTTTAAAAAAAATATACCACTTAACTAATTGCCCCATAAGGGTGTTTGAGTAATAAAACGCAGAAAAGATTTTTAAAAATGATTAAAATGAGATTTCTGTCAAAATGCTCGCTGGAATTTTTTTTTAAAGGTTTTGGGCAGGTGCCAGAAGTTCAGCAGGGAAGAGGACCTGTCTGACCTCAACTGGAAGGAAGGGTTGGGCCTACAATACTGACTGCGCAGCTCCTGGTGGATAAGGGCCATAAATCTGAGTAAAACCAGCCCTGAGGCTGGTGGCAGTCAGGGGGGCTTATCTGATCTCCAGCTGCTGGAGGCACTGCTAGGAGCAGGTGAAGCAGTGACAACTTTGGCAAAGGAGCAGTTTCCAGTGTTTCCACCTTGCAGCCACCTTGCTCCTCTTCTTCCCAGTAAGCTGCAGTGACGCATAAGATGCTCTGCCAACCGCTACTGCCTGTGGCTATGCTACATTTAGTTAAAATTTGGCCTCAAGCCTTCTAGTTATGGGGAATGAAAAAAAAGAAGCCCGAAATAAACTACTGACTGGAAACTAGCTACATTTGATTTAATACAGAATTCCTGAAATGTTTATTGGTGTTTTTATATAAGTATTCAGCGCCATATTGCCATGTCACACCAGAGAAGAAGCGCAAATGCTTTTATTTATTTATTAGTTTGTTTTCAAAGAGTGCAGGCATTTCTTTTCTGGTTTTTGTTTTATTTTTGCAGTGGGGGTGGGATTGTTTTATGTTGTCACAATCTGCAATATCCCCGCATTGCTGGAGTCTATTAAGATGACACCGTGGTCAGATCTGTTCGAACTGTTGTGATAAATCCTTGGAGAAGGCTCGTGGGGGAAAGAAAGGGAAGCAAGAAAAGAAAATGAGCAAAGCAAGAGCTGTTAAGAGTGAGGATGTTTTCAAAAAGTAGGTCAGAGTTTAACTTTCTTTTAAAACAAAGAGGTCATATTCATGGGACAGTCTCTATCTCCCACCCTCTTCCCCTGGGGTTGAGAAGTGTAACCATCACTTTTGCTTCCAGAGATCATCATGTGTGACATCGCTTAATGTTTGTTGGTGTAAGGCTTTAAAACTGGACCAGCTTTAACTTGAGTTTGTTGGCCTTCATAACCAAGCAAAGAAGACAACTTCACATCTTCTCAAGGAACTTGTTCCATTGCCTACTTATTGGAGCTACAATGTTCACTCAGTTTATTAGACCAACATGATTTTCTTAACCAGGTGACAATCCTACCAGTTACTGTTTCAGTTAGGGAAAATGCCTAATATAGTCAACTTAAAGCTTGCCACCACAGAGTGTCTTACCCATAAAGGCACATTCTACTTATTTTAATAGGAGCGTTGCATGCAAAGATGGAGATTTGCATTGTAAAGCGGTTTACAATACTTCGTGTTATGGCTTTGAAACAAAAATTGCATTTGGTTCTAGTGTTTCCTAGGAGAGTTTAACCAACCTATGCTTCCCCCTGTCTTTTTCCAGTTGGCTGAATATTTATCATTTTGTAAATCAGAAGTTTAGTATGGACTGAAGGAATAGAGTCCTAGAAGGCTGCTCAGAGGCATCATAAGTAGTCTGCTTTTCGAGTCATCCTGACTTTGAAAAAGAAACATTAAGGTATCATTTACTCCATTGACCTGACTTTCCATAGAGAGAACAGTTAATGAAAGACCCCATTGTGTGTTCATACAGTTAAGTACAGACTACTAGAAAGATTTTATGGACATAGCCATAAAAAGAGCCTGTAGGCCAAAACCGATCTTACAGTTACTTTTCTGTTATACAACTGGAAGCACCTGCTCCATTGCAATGCCTTTTGAAAACTATCATTTTTTAAAGTCCTTATCTGTACCCAAGCTACCCCCTGTAATGATCCACTGTATTCCATGCATGTCTATATGTGGGAAGCTATTCAGAATTCCCAAGTTATTAGCTGCGTTGATATTTGAAATATGGACTTGGATTCCTGTGCTTATTTCACAAAATGAGATAGAAAAGTCAATATAAGGTTGGATAATTGAAGAGCCAATATAACAGTGGGGGAATTAAATACTACAGCTAAGACCACATTCCTGTGGACACTTTATTACACACAGTGGGATTTTACTTCTGAGTAAACATGCATAGGATTGTCCTGTTAATGGCTCTTCTGTAGTACCAGGAAGCCATGCTCTGATATGTGGGTGGAGCAGGAAATGATGTCACAGTAATGGAATTGTTGGCTTGTTCGAGTGTAAGGTGTTGGATTGTTGGAGTGTAAGGTGAGAATAATCTTTCTGCCATTTATTAGCCATTTTATGATAGGGACCCAAACTGTGATTTTGGGGGGGAGGTAGTGGTTTGGATTATTAGAGTAGACCCATTGAAATGAAGAATTGTTAGTCCTTCTGATTTCCGTGGGTGTGCTCTAAGCCTGACTATGTCTGGATCCAACCCAGAATATAGTGCAAGGACATCTGTTGTTTGTCTGAGCTATATTTGAGAAGCAGGGGAGATTTTGTAGCTTCCTACTGCACTTCTTTGTAAATCTGTTCTCACCCTAAATAAGTCTCTTCTGAAGCATGTTGCTTTCTTGTTTGCCTTTATTTGTTTTGACAACTTTGCCAACATGTTATGGCGGTGTCTGGCTTTCTAAGCTTTTAGTAAATCTTGATAGAACTGAAGATGTACAAAGTAAAGCCAAAAGGAGAAGATTACGCAGTTCAGTCAAGGACAACAACAACCCCAAACTTGCTAGATAAAATAAACTTCAAATGTGATGATACATTCTGCATTTCATAAACTATTTTAATCTTGTTCTTTAGGGAAGATTACATGGTTCTAGATTAATATAACAAAATTGTGTGCACGACAAAGAGTTTCCTTACCCATTGGATGATGCTTCTGTGATTCATAGGCATGGAACTTGATTGCATAAACACGATTGCCACCTCTATCCTCACTTGAAGGGTGAAATTCACAGCAGCCCCAGTCAAGTGCAAAGAGAGATCTAAGGGATACTGCATACCATATCAGTCCTTCATCAAGCACCTAATATTGAACCATTGATCTGAATGGGATTTAATTGTGACTCATTTATTCTGGCTTGTGCTTGCAGAGAGCAGACAAAGTTTGTCTGTCTGAGGTGTGATGCACACATTCAGCAAAGCACACGGGACAGTCCTATCGGGATACTACCAGCTCAGAGATACTTGAGGGGAATCTTATCTTTGAATACTCTCCCGTGTGAAAATCTTTCTAAATGCTACAATGCATCTCTGGAATGTTGGAAAGGGCAAATTCCGTGCTACAGATTATCTGGAAAGGGATGGAAAAATAAAACTTGCAACTGTAAATCTATGGTGAAACCAATCTTGGAATCCTGTATACAGTTCTGATGATGGCATTAAAGGATATTGTAGAGCTGAACAAGGGTGGAAAAGGCAGCTGGTATGATCAGAGAGTTGAGTCCTCATTAAGGGTTTTTCAGTTTTAAAAAGAAGCAATCGTGTTGTGTGTGTGTGTGTGTGTGTGAGAGAGAGAGAGAGAGAGAGAGAGAGAGAGAGAGAGAGAGATGTGGTTAGCAAAACAAGAGTGGGCCTTTCCTGCAGGGAAGTTTTTATGACTATATACCACATATCCCATTTAGTTTTGTAGGAACTTTAATAGGACACATCCCTTCTTCTTGACACTTTTGCTTAGTGTTAAGCTCGAAGTACAAGAGAAGTTCCCTGAAAAGGTGATTGATGATAGAAAATACAGCATGTTTGAGGTAATAATAATAATAATAATAAGGCCAACAGAGTTTGAAACATGCTGTTTCCATTGAAGCTTTTTATATTTCACATAAAATTTAAATCACACAATCTATCTGCTCTTTGTTGGAATTGGGGGTGGGGGGAGAGAGAGATGCGTTTGCTCAATAGAGGAGGCCTCTCTTCAGCATGACATAGCACAGGTCAAATGCTTTGGTTCACAAAAATATCCTGAATCACACAATGGGGTCCGATTAGGATTTCTACCTTCCCATGTTTAAAGTAGCATGGAGATACCAGTGCCCCATCTGACATGAAGGGTTAACATTTAAGGTGCATAAAATATATAGTGGACGCTCAGGTTGCGAATGTGATCCGTGCAGGAGGCACATTCACAACCCACAGCACCACATCTGCGCATGCACGGGTCGTGATTCGGTGCTTCTGCACATGCGCAAAGTGCTTCTGTGCATGCACAACCGCCAAAACCCGGAGGTAACCCATTCCGGTACTTCTGGGTTTGGCGCAGTGCGCAACCAGAAAACACACAACCTGAAGCGTTTGTAACCCGAGGTATGACTGTAGTGAAATGTATATTGTAGCCTATAGCAGATGCTAATGTTCACCTTCCAAAATTAAAGTGTAAGAAATTGTTTCTTCCCCCGTCCCCTAAATTAGACTTTGATTAGTTATTTATTTAATTTCTGGAGATATTTAAATCTGCTAACTCGCCGAAAACTCTTCCCTTGCTGTCTAATATGTAGTTTGAACAAGAAAACTAAAAGCAAATGTTGCTCTCATGCTCTCTCTCTCTCTCTCTCTCTGCTATACATTTTTAATGTCTCTATGTCTGATGGTTATTTTTAAAGGTCTGCTCCAGATTCTAAAGTAGCCTTAAAACGGCTGTCAACACATTACGGAATAAACAGAGTTGCTGCTTTCTCAGAAGTCGATAGAAGAAATAGAGCGAAAATGAATACAATTTGTTACAGATCTGGGTAACGGAGTTTGGCGGTGCAAGGGCAGCCATAACTGCTAGAGTTGGGGACAGTTAGAAATTAATAAAGGGTAGGATTTAGAGAATATTTGGAGTACTGAAGGGAAGAAATAAATAAACAAAAACCTAAGACCAAACTAGACATGAAGTCAATTGCATTAATGAAACTAATGGCGTTTTAAAATGATGTAAGTAGCTGTGAGGAAGGAATCCTGCACAGCCTTGCAAAGGTGGAGGACTGTTGGGGGTAGGGAAAATTTAATACATTCTCTGCATACCTGGCCTCAAGAAAAACTACCTCTCCAAAGCTTGTTGTTTGCATTTTAAAGCAAGCCCTCATCAGCAATGCAATATTGGAGTGCCTCTCATTGTAGAGGCCAATTCATGTGACCGAAACGCTGTAGTGATGCCTATGGGAAACAAGGGAGCAGAACATGAGCTCTCTCCCCTCCTGTGGTTTCCAGCCTCCTGTATTCCAAAGCTTTGCTGCCTGTCTATCCTACAGAGCTGTGGATAGACAAGGTTGGGTCTGCATAACAGTAATCTTCTCAGATTTGCTTGTGGCTGCTCTGTAGTCCCACACTGATGTGAAAGATCTACCCTATGTATCAACATAGACATCTGCACTGGCATTGGGCCTTCTTGGAGATGAGTAGTCAGTCACTATGCAACAGCTAGTGTTGTGAATCAGACTCTTAAGTAAGCTTCATCCAGCAGGGTACTATTCAGATGGAATAGTAACATTCCAGCTGCATTGGAAATTATTTGAATACACATTTGCTGCATTCCAAGGCATTTGTTTTCAACACAGAGAATAGATGTTTGACTCACATCCACCATGTTTAGAATGTTTTTGCTTCACCAGCCGTCGCTAACCTGATGCACTGTAGATGTTTTAAGCCCCCACCAATCTTGACCTTTGGTCAAGTGAGCTTGTAGACCAAAACAGCTGAGAGCACCAAGTTGAGGAAGGATGGTTTTCTGTCTTAATAAATTGTCTATATTTGAACTTGGTCTAGTAGACAGAGATGCAGAGATGGATACAACGCCAACCTCGACTTTGCCTAGGCATCTTCAAGATCTGTGCTCAACGAAGTTTGTAAACCCAGGTTTTTCTCCAACAGCATGATTAGCACCTTGGTTAGCACCAAACTGCCTCTAACTAGATGTCAATCATCAGACCAGTGTAGGAGTTCTAGGTTTTGTAATAGTTTGGTTGCTTCTTTCCTCTACGCTGCATCTGGAGGCTGCTAAGTTCATCTCCTTTCCATCTGAACATTGTTGGTCTGTTGAACAGAAGCAGAAAACATTTTGTGAAAATGAGCCTGTCATCTGCTACTGTTGGTGGGGCAGGGGTGGGGGAGCTCCATTGTGCTGTAGAGAGGATTACAGCTTCCATCTGCTTCATAATGTAAAAAATGTGGGTAGGCCTCCATGTTCAGAGCTTTGAGTCTCCAATGAATAGTGGCAGTTCAAGGTTTTTGGTATTTGATCTGAAGCATTGCCAGACGTTTGTTTTATCATTTAGTTTTCTTAATAGGCCAGCACCCCTTGCCATGTGAGCAGAACAGTGACTTGCTAACTTTAGCACTATGGTATATAGAAGAAAGAGCGTATTTAAAATGGAAATGTAACGGTAGTACTTATGGCACAAATTTTCCATACTCTCTCTTAAGTCATGTACTTCACAATATATCTGTACAGATATGCAGCTGTAGATTAGTTTGAATTGTAACCATGTGCTGGTACTTAGGTTGCAAGGCAAACGTTGCACAGCAGTCACGGAAAAGCTCAACCTTATGAATTTCGTCCAGTCATGCAGCTTTTAAAGAGCACAGGATCCGCTCCCAGAAATAAGTCTGACAATTGTACCCTCTTCTTACATTTGCAGCATTGTTTTGTTTGCTTGTTGCATTGACATTATGGATTATAGAATGCTTTGGTCCAGGGCTCTATTGTGAAGAACCAGAACCCAGAAATGCAGAACCTGGCATGAGATATTAATGGAATTGGACTCCTTGTCTGCCAGTGACACACAAATAACATGTAATGGTTCCAGAACCAAGCGGCTAAGCCAAGGACTGCCCCAAACACACTGTATGTGCGCAAGTACATTTGCATGCACACAGATCTGATTGAAAGACCAACAGTGGAGAAAAAAGGCAACAAAATCGAGTGGCTGGAGCATGATCTGGATCAAGACTACAGCAGGGCAATGGGCAAAGAGCTAAAGCTCTGTCACTTCCAACTATGATCCCAATCTGGATCAGGCATGGAGAGTATCACATCTAGCTTTGCCTCTGAGGGGCTGATATTTTGAACTGAGTACAAAATTTCATGTGAAAATCAGGGCTGGGTTAATGTGCTACTAAGGAGGAACACACCTAAGCAAGATCAGAGTAGGAAAATATGTCACCTGATTATTGCTGAACCTTTTTATCTGCATTAGTTGACTAGTTACTTCCTGCTAGGGATGTAAGGAGCCAGCGATTTCTGTCCCATCCTTGCAATCAGCGCTGTTTCCATTCCACTACTCTTCGGCTTCTGCTAAAATCTATGTCATTCACCTCACTATTCACTATGACCAAAATGTAATGTAACGAATCATTCATTTCATTATGTGGTTAACTTCAGTACATCTCAGTGGAAGGGAAACATCAAAAACCATGCAGAAAATAACAATTATTTATGCTGTGCTTGCAGACTAAAGACACAATGAAAAATACTGCTCATATTCACTTGTGTGATTTGTGTTCCTGACCTCGGGCAGACATGCAAATTGTGGCAATTTCGGCTCCCATTTCTGTTTCTGACAGAACTCTTTGGCACCCCTGCTTCCTATATTATTTTGCTGGACCCTTAAAGCTTGGAGTCACATGACACTGAGCAGAGTTACACGGGGGTGCTTGGTTTGGATGGAGTCCAGCCAAAGAGATGAGATAATGGGAGCAGTAATTAGCACATGGGAACCTTGACGCCACACAACCTTGGACCTTGGGTGCAAGGAGAGGAACACAGGAAGCTGCCTTACAGTGAGTCAAACCATTGTTCCACCCAGCTCTTTATTGTCAACACTGAATGGCAGGAACTTTCCAGGGTGTTAGGCAGGAGACCTTCCCAGACGTAACTGGAGGTTCTGAGGAGTGAAGCTGGGATATTCTGTATTATCATGCCTGTGACCTGACACTGAGCTTTAGTCCTTTCCCAAGATTGCAAAAGAATTTCCGCTGTTTCTGTCAAGGCCACCACAGCATTTGAACAAAGTGTCTTTTTTTCAAAAAGAAAAAAAGAGTTGTTTCTGGATATGAGAGAGGAGTCTTTTGCGAGGGATGTTAACCTACAGCCAATTTAATGTCTGAAGCAAAACAAATATTCCGTGACTGTATTGGGAAACCTAACTTGGATTTAAAATAAGGGGCGGGGGGAGGCTTGTAATCATATTTGAAGGATTTTCTAGCTTATGCCAAATCCAACATGGGTTAATTCACTTGACTTAGTTTTCCAATCAGCACAATCTTTTCCTGAGGCCTGGTCAGGAGGTGGTAGATAAATCCATGACTGTGCCTCCCTCACTGACGGCTTTTCAGAAAAACAACAACCATAAAATCATTGGGTAACTACATAATACAAATAATTTGTAAACCTGCCCCCCCCAAAAAGATTGTATGTCTACTGTCTTGCATTATGCCCCACAAAATTATGTAAAAAAGCTACTTTCAAATTAATGTAAATTAATCGGCATAAGGAGATTTGGAGTTAATTTCTATGGACTCTGTTTTCCGCTCCTTTGATTCCTCATCCAGAGCCTTATCATTTGACCTCTTCACCTCAGGAGAGGTTAAGCAGTTGCTGTTTTAACATAACTGTGAATATTTTCTTTCTTTCTTTCTTTCTTTCTTTCTTTCTTTCTGTCTGTCTGTCTTTTTTTCATATCATTTTTATTAGTTTTACAATAATACTTTCCATTGCAATGTCTCCTCTTATATTACACATTTTGGCTTTTTAGGGCCCTGACTTCCTTCAACCCTTCCTTATTTATACTGTTTTATTGTTGTTAGCCGCCCTGAGCCCGGCTTCAGCTGGGGAGGGCGGGATATAAATAAAATTTATTATTTATTATTATGATTTTCTATCTTTCATTTCAAATTTCTGCATTTTCACTATTTAACCATTGCTTTAAAATCAAAAACATTAAAACATCATACATTCTTATTCTTATCTGCAGTGGTTTTTGTACCTTACAAAGCTTCTTGCAATCCTACCAATGTATTTGATGGAATACAATTGTCTTTCAAATAATTTACAAATTTGATCCAGTCCTTGATGAACTTTCGGTCCCACTGTTCTCGGATTCTTCTTCCTTCTTTCCTTCTTGTTCCTAATTAAAGCCATTTTAGATGCTACTGAAGCACAAATATTGTAGCTGTGTTGTACCTGTCAAATACTTTGACTTTCTGTGATGGTACTGTTGCACGCCACCCCAAACGCTGAGCGGTGAGAGATTCTAAGGGTGCCAGGCCCTTAACCCAGGGTTTGCTTTCCTCATAATGAGGGACAATACATACTGTGGTGTCTTTATGATATATGGTTATTTATGCTTATATACAAAGTGAGCCTGACATGGAGGGGCTCACAGCGTTCACACTCCAAGAGGGACTTGCTTCTCTCATAGCCACAGCCTTGCGTCCAAACAGGAATCAGGCATGGCTCTGTCTCTCCCAGCTACCCAACCTGCTGCTTCTTGCTTCTGGATCACACACACAACTCCACTCTGGCTTTTATCTTTCTAACTACCTGTTTTTAAGCATTCCCAAAGGCAGAAGTGGGAGCTAGCCATAAACATAGATGGGAGAAAAATCAAATATTTTACTGTCGCTAGGGTAAGGTACAAGGGTGACCTTTGCATCCAGACCCAAAATGAAGAGAAGAAAACTTAAACATGGAGGGAAACACCTCTCCCCAAAATGAGCTGACCAGGGCTGTGCGTGCTCACTGGGTACGTAATACTGACTGCTCTGTGGAGGAGGAAAGCCAAGACAGGAATGAAGGGAGTTGCTCCACCTGCCGAAATATACTCTTCTATTAAAGGTATAGAATTATTTTATTTCATTTTATTTTTGCGTTGGACCACCCTATCCTGAAGAAAAATAGATACAACCATGATGACATCTATTTTATTTAACAGGTTTTACACACACTTACTAGAACAAAACAAAACAAAACGCCCTATAAGCAGTTTATAAACAGCATTCTCTGCATAGAAATTAGTGTACTACATTATGTTTGTATGCTCTTCCTTGACTTTTCCTTGGGTTTATTTATTTGTTATACATTGTGTTATATGAAGTCTTTGGAAATGGTATTTTTGATTAAAGCAGCAACACCTCTGTGGAGCTGGGGACTTGTGGTGACTCTGTGGAACTGGGGCACCAAGTAGCTGTATCCTTGAGATTTACAAACAAGTCAAAGATCTAACACATCCCACCAAGAAAATAGGTGTCAGACTGCTCTCACATACTGGTGGAGCAGTGCTGACTTCATTGGGAAGGATGCCATTTATTCAAGTACTAACACCCTTCCAAGAGTAGATTCTAGGTCTGTTCTGGCTTACATGGCCTGAAGATGGCCTCAGGCCAAGAAGATTTGGCTGCAAGTCAAGTGGGAATTCCCTTTCAATCAGAGAAAAATAAAATGGGGCTTAGCCAAATCTGTTACATCCATGTCTCTTTTTTTAAATGTTGAAGACTGTGTTGTCCTGCTTCCTGAAGATCAGATGCTAAGGCCATGTTGAATGGATGGAATAAAGTTTTACACCCCTCTTGGTGCAGCGGCTGTTCCGCTTCAGGCTCGACAGGCTGGGCTGTAAATCCAAGCACTCGTGTAAGAATGAACCAAACAGTATTTTATTGGCAGACAAGCAGCAGTTTGCTTCACACACTGGAACAGCTTGTCTACAGCTGATGGATCAGACCAGCTGTGTTGGGCTGCTTTGAGTCAGCTCCGTGATGCTCTGGCAGGAATAGACAATCACAAGAGTTTCAATGAAAATGTGGCTGCATTGTTGTTGTTTTGTGTGTCTGTCTTGTCTTTCTATCTAGATGCACGCGCACACACACACACACACACAGAGACACACACAAACCAACCAACACCAGCCGTGCACAAGCAGAACGGACTTCCACCTGCACTAGCGTGTTATGCAAGTGGAAGTCAACTCGCTCAACATTTGAGTCTGCCATTGCATACCCTCCAGCATTTCTCCAATGAAAATAGGGACGTCCTAAGGAAAAGCGGGACATTCTGGGATCAAATTGGAAACCAGGAAGGCTTCTGTAAATCCAGGACTGTCCCTGGAAAACAGGGACACTTGGAAGGTCTGCCCTTGGAAACCACAACTGAGTTTTCACATTTGCTAATCCACAAGTCTTTCTTCCTCCTTCTATGCAAATCCTGTAAATATTTGTCCCTTTTTATTGATGGAGCGAGTATAGAGTAAGAATCTCGCTAAAGCAGCATCTCTCAAACAGTGGGATGGAACTAGCAGTGAGCTTCACTTCACCTTCTGGTGGGCCTCAGCACCAAGGCCAATTTATTCCGTGCCTCCTCACATGTTGTAGCCTTTTGTTTGGCCCAATGGTAACACCAGCAACTCCCCAACTGCTAAGGAAATGTGGTCAGGAGGGGATGGGAAAGAAGAACTCTGCTTCCTCTGAGGGGAAGGGGTGAGAAGAGTTGTTGGAGGAACTTACAAAGAAAAATACACTAAATATTTCACCTTAGAACAATATACTGGGAATAGAAAGAAAGGGGATGAGAGAAGAAATACGTTATAGGAGGAAGAAGTGAATGTAAAAAGAACAGGGAAGAAAGGATCAAATAAACTGGCAGGGGCAGGGAATGGAATACAAGTTCAGTGTGGCAAGAGCAGGCAAGAGAATTGCCAGCTGATTATGACTCTGCCTCCATCCACCATTGTTTTGTGACTGGTTGCCATGAGGTAACTGGTGGGCCTCATTAATCTTCAGCTCCCTGAAGTGGATCTTGGGGATCAAAAGTTTGAGAATCCCTGCACTAAAGCATGTTCACCTACAACTAATGCTATAATTGTCTTCTGGAGGTTGATTACAAATCTGCAGCAGTGCTGTAGTCCATGTACACCCTTGTCATAAGAACTCCCAAGAGATCGCTGCTTTGAAACTAAAAATAATGAGTTGTGGCCATAGTAACACATTGGTTTAGAACTGCAAATGTTACGTGATAAGATGATAGCTGATACCTGTTTCTCATAACAACCCATAGTAATATACCTTATAAAAATCGCAAAGCAATATTTGAGACTCACTATCCAGAAGTTGTGGTATGAATGTGATGGGCAGCGAAATAGTGAGCGGATGCCCTTAGAAGCTCTGAGAACTTTCCAAGATGATTTTGTAGATAATGAAGCTACAGTGGTACCTCGGGTTACATATGCTTCAGGTTACATACGCTTCAGGTTACAGACTCCGCTAACCCAGAAATAGTGCTTCAGGTTAGGAACTTTGCTTCAGGATGAGAACAGAAATAGTGCTCCTGCCACGCAGCAGCAGGAGGAGGCCCCATTAACTAAAGTGGTGCTTCAGGTTAAGAACAGTTTCAGTTTAAGTACGGACCTCCAGAACAAATTAAGTACTTAACCCGAGGTACCACTGTATTATAAAATGACAAATGATTATAATATGAATATGTCACCCACATCAAACGAGGAATCAGTATTACAATAGCCAGCCCATGCCTATGACCCATTACATGCCATGCAGGCAGTCAACACATTTGTGGGCATGTGCAAATGTTTTGTGTGTAAGATTCCTTCCCACTGAGGAAAGTTGGAGGAAAGATTGTGCACATCAATGTCCAAATGCACATGCATTCTTTCTGCATTGTACATTACAAATCATTCAATTACAAAGGATTCCATTGGTTTGAAACAAGGCTTGCTCAAAGTGCTATATCTTGGGTGCAAAATTATGGTCACCTTTTTTCCATTTCCACATTGCAGTAGCGCCTTTTTGCATTTTGCAAATGCTCTTTCTGACAGATAAGTTCTTAGCCTAGATGCAAACCCAACTCTGCTCTACTTAAGACTGAGAAGGTCCAGTCACTACTTGCATCTGTGGCTACCAGAAGGGTTATGACACCGCCAGCTACGCTCATCTGCTGTGCTCTGACAAATATGATTGAGGAACCATCTTGAGGAAACCGAAGAGATTCTCCTGCAACCTACCATATAAACTGGAATGAGGGGAGAAGTGAAATTAAGAGCAGGCCCCAAACTTTTATGTTAACATATGCACATGACTATTACCTGAGTAGCGACTATCAAGGTCCTGCAGTAATATGCTGATGGAACAAGAAAGCAGCAGTAGTTCTGAATTCATTATTTATGTGTGCACTGCAGACCGTGCTTTGGGGGATAGCATTAATGGTGATACATTTTCAGGCAAACAGAGAAAAAGGCTTTCAGCCAACTTCATACTGAAACCTTGAAGGAATAAAACAGGTCAGAGATGAATATTAAATTAACTCCTGGCTATCTTCCAAAGTGATTTGGCCTACTTAGGAATCAACAAAAATGAAGAAAGCTTTGCTTCTTCACATCCTGATTTCTCCAGGGAGAGCAGAGCTCTCTGCATGGATTACAAACTCAACCCGATTCCGTAAGTCAACAGCTTTGTCTTGTACACGTACACCCACACACAGCGTATGCAGCGGAATAAATAACTGTATCGATTTCACAGACCGTTGGCAATTGGAATGCTCTCTGATACGTAAAGTACATGTTTATAAAGAGGGGAGAGGGAAATTGCAAGGAGGGTCTTTGCAAACTTTTTGCAATAACACACTAACAAGGAAGGGGGCAAAATGTACTTGCTTTTCCTTTTGCAAGCAGCCTGTGTTGTTTACCCTATATTTGGTGAATGGCAAACTCATTGTACTGAGACACTTTCATGCAATTTAGCCATTATACCATTGTAGTAGAAAAATGTATTCAATATAAATGAATGAAGCACTACACTGCTAACCATGAGTGTGAAGGACAGAGGTGAGACAAGTGATGTCCTGTATCAAGTGATGCCCATACATGTGTAATTCAGAACTAAGTGAATTGGAGGAAAAGTCTGTTTGAAATCCCAATATTTATTGAGCAACAGCTTTATCTCCACTGTAGCCTTCCTTGTCCAGTGATAGAGGTGAAAAATAATTAAAAGTACAGGAGATTTGTTTTGGAATGATGATCAGGAGAAATGGAAGCATCTCTCATCTACAGAAGGAGCTAATTAGAGTGGTCTCAAGAGATTAGCTTCAAACGTGGTCCATCATACTGTTGGAATGTACAGTCGTACCTCGGAAGTCAAACGGAATCTGTTCTGGAAGTTCGTTTGACTTGCAAAACATTTGGAAACCAAGGCACAGCTTCCGATTGGCTGCAGGAAGCTCCTGCAGCCAATCAGAAGCAGTGGAAGCAGCGATGGACGTTTGGGTTCCAAAAAACATTCGCAAACCAGAACATTCACTTCCAGGTTTGTGGCGTTTGGGAGCCAAAACATTCGACTCGCAAGATGTTTGTCAACCAAGGTATGACTGTATAAAGTCAAGAAGTCTCTTGATACAAACATTGGAGAAAATCCTTTCCTACAGCCACTCTAGTTATCACTTCAAATTTTACATTTATGACATGGGTAATAATAGTTGGGTTGGACAGAGGGGAAAGTATAGTGTGCTAATGGCTTCACGTGTGTCTCTATCACTTCCTACACATGCATCAAAACTCAGGGCTACTCTCAAGTAGAGACTTGTATCCTGTCAGGAGCCTGACCTCTAGTGGATATGGTGGATCTGCTTCATAGACTCCACAATATTTTTGGGTCGGACTGTTTTAACCCGCAGGTACAGAAGTGTAAGCTTGAAACAAAATGCCATAATTCGTTGCTATAATTCTTATTACATTTTTATCGCACCTGCCCTCTTAAGTTGCTCCAGGGCGGCAGGCGTGGTTCTCCTCCTCTTTTCTTCATCCCTGTGAGAGGTGAGAGAGAGTGACTTTGCACATTTTCATTTTTCATTGCTTATTCGCTTGTGACTCTTCCAGATTGGCAAACATACTGAAAAGTGTGAAAAAAATACAGTTCCATAAACTGGCCTCTTCTGGCATTTGAAAAGAAATAAGAGGTTCTCCCTCCTCCAGTAGTCTGGAGGTCTGTTTATGCAATCCTATCCAAACTGCTGGTTAATTTTGAGATGTGTGCAAATGTGCGGCAGATTGAGGGAGACCATCAAAGTGACGGGCCCCAGCTCGCTGAGTTGTCCAACTCCTCAAGTTATTTTCCCCACATCTGGATGGGTTGTCTGCAGAGCAATTGCATCATTGCCATTAACAACACGGAATTAATTCACTGCGGTTTGTTCAGGCACCGAGAGCAAGTATGTTTCCTTTGGTATTTGAGGTCACTTTGAGGGGAAAGCAGACTTGTTGATATTTCAACCTTTTAAAAATTATTATGACTTCCTAAAGAAAACAAAATGTCAAGCACCTTTTCCTTCCTTCAGCATGGTTTTTTATTGGGGGGGGGGGGCTTCTTTAAAATAAAAATGGAGAAGTGGCTAGAAAGATCCTGAAGCCATGCCTAAGTAACATTCAGGGCAGGAGGACTTCGTGTGTGTATCCTGTATGTATCAAGATGTACGTTCTACATCTGGGATAGCTAAACTATTTTGCCTGGTGATCCAGCAGAGAGTATCAACATCTCTTCACCAATATAATAATCGATCTGATGATTGGGGAGGAGGTGGTTTCCACCAACTTCAATGTGTGACTACTTTTATTTTTTATATTTTTTGCCACCACCAAAATAAGTGGGGGGCTTGGAAGGGGGCATAAAAATTTTCTGTGGAGACTGAACAAGGACTTCCAGCTAGGAAGCAGCCACTCTAGATTTTCATAGATGTTTAAATAAAGTCTATTGGAAGGCCCCTGCCTTTGTTTCCCTTGATTTCATCTCTTGCATTGACTTATTTTTGTAAGAAATAAAAGAAAAACAGGAGGAAGGGAAAGAGCAGTCTGTGGGGGCTACAATTACAAGCCTTTTAGGAAACTGTGCATGGCTGTGTAAGCTGCTGATTCCTCTTGTTTGGATGGCTGAAGTATATTATCTAGGTCATGTTCTCCAAGACCGCTGCCTCTGTTACAGCCAGACTTTCTGTTGACTTGGGCTGTCTTAATGCATCAGAGAACCTCTGCTATGCTTCAGTTCCTGTTATGAATCCAAGTTGCACCTCTCAGCTTTTGCTTAGACAACATTTTTTTTTGCATGTGCTTATCATTTACAAAAGAGAATTCAGATTCTCATTGCGCTTTTCTTACTATAGTACCTATTTCTCTGTTTCTCTGTTTATTTAATAATCATGTCTGATTTGCTGCCTTCGCCCCTCGACACTGTTTCTGCATGTCATAATCCAGTTACTTGACAGCAGAGGTGAGAGATGAATCATAAAGATCAGTTACATTGCTTTTGGGTGTGTGTGAAACACTATCTTGAAATAAAGGAAATGAGATGGAAGAAAATTTAGGTCAGGGGTGAGAAATCTTGACCCCAGGGCTGCATTCATTCCCTTAGGGGCGATTGGTTTGAAGCCTGGCTCCATGCCACTGTTGGGCGGGGCCCAAACCCAAAGTGGGAGGAGCCAGTACTTTCCCCATTTTCTCTCTGTCTTTCAAACCACATTTTCCCAATGTTTCCTTTCATAATAACTACAGTGGTACCTCGGGTTAAGTACTTAATTTGTTCTGGAGGTCCGTTTTTAACCTGAAACTGTTCTTAACCTGAAGCACCACTTTAGCTAATGGGGCCTCCTGCTGCTGCCGCGCCAGCGGAGCACGATTTCTGTTCTCATCCTGAAGCAAAGTTCTTAACCTGAAGCACTATTTCTGGGTTAGCGGAGTCTGTAACCTGAAGCGTATGTAACCTGAAGCATATGTAACCTGAGGTACCACTGTATTGAGTTTTAAGCAATATTTTGCATGACATAAAATATACTTCCAGAAAAAAGGAGAAACTTAGCACTGATGTGCATGTTAATTGCTTCCAGAAAAAAAATATATGTTTGCATATTTTAACCCACCCACAACATTACAGAAGTTTTGCGTTGTAATTGCCCCACAGTTTTCGTGGAACATGCCACTGCTGCTCATGTGATGAACTTTGGGGTAGAATTTCAGCATACTGTTCTTTCCCGCCATTTTCATGGGTGAATCATTGGGGTCAGAAGCACTTGTGCACATGAAGGGTGTGATTTTATTCTCTGCTGTTTCAAATTGTTCAATATATGCTATTTTATTCCCCCCCCTTTTTTATTTGCTTTCACTAATGGCAGAAATCTATTATGGAAAGGTGGGGCATAAATCTTTTTAAACAAATAGTGACAGAAGCTTCTGAATTTTTCTTTTAGTCTCCTTCTCTCAGGTAAATTATCTTTTCTTGTACTTCTTGGGAACCTGGTTAATTCTTTCCAGGCCTGTCATTTAAGCAACATCTTTAAAAACACACAGACATAGAGAGAGAGAGATTCCAGAGATTCTTTCAGGCCACAAAAGAGTTAAATCTCCCCTCCCCCTTCCACCTCCATGCGACAGAGAGTGAGAGCAGTAGGATTACTGTTCACTCTTCTGATTTACCATTTATGCTGGACGGTGAAGAGATTAGAAAGACCCAGTACTTGGGCTGAACCATGTGCTTGTCTAGAAGGGGAAGCTGGAGGGCGTGCAGATGTTCATAAAAAATCTGTGCCATGCGTGTTTCCTGGAGGGATTTTCCCTCGACCCTCTGGTCTCCCCCTCACTTCTGCAGGTCAGTTTGCACATATCACTGGGACTCTGAGATCCAGAGAACAGTATGCAGGAGAGGCAAAGCCTGTTGGGCATTGGGAGATTTTCTTAAGAAGCACAACAAAGTGATCAAAAATGGCCCTGGGCTGCTGTCTGCTGAAGAATCCAGGTATTTATATATTTATATATATAAATATACTCTTTTTCCTTGTAGACAGGGTTTCTGTGTAACCGGGAGATAATAAAGCACGCTCTCTCTCTCTCCCTCCCCCCCCCCAACTCCTCCATGCAAAACTCATTTGCTAAGTAAAGATGTGGGAATGTGTGTTGTATTCTAGCAGTTTGTTTGTTTACACAATGTATTTGCTGCTTGAGAGCAGACGTTAGCAATAAATAAATAAAAAACCATAAAGATTAAAGCAGAATAAAATTAACCTCAATATAAAACAAACAAACAAAAATCACCAGCAGCAAAACATTTATACAGCAGGACCAAAAGCATGAGGATGTTGTAACATTATAATACCTGGAAGAATAAAAAGGTGGTCACCCAATGCCAAAAAGGTGAGTACCAGGTGAACCTCCTTGGGTTACACAAAGAAAGTGTAACTTATATATCAGCAACAGGCATAAACGTGGTTAAAAAGTTTAACACATTTTTCGGCTTTTTCTTTTTGCAAGTTGGTGTATATTCAGCCAGCAATAAATATAATTTTCTGTTGTGACTTTCACTTAATAGATGCTCCAATTTTATAGATAGATAGATAGATAGATAGATAGATAGATAGATAGATAGATATAGATGATATAGACATTCTGAGGACCTCTGTTGCTTCTTTGTAGCTGACTTGTACATTCAAGGCAAGCTTGGTTTTAACTGAAAGTCATTACTGATTGATTGATTGATTGATTGATTGACTAATGCAGCAATCTATTCAAAACTCTTGAACAAAAATGATAATTATGCATTTATCTATTGAGCGTTGGTCACTTTTAATTTAAAGAATCAGAGCATTTCAAAAGGCACTATGAGAAAGTTAACAAAACATTCCATTAAAAGACAAAATCCATTTAATATATGGCAAAAGAACCACAGCAGCATTAATAAGTAGAAAAGGCTCTGCTGATTAAAACAACAACAACCCCAAAGTCTTCACTTTTGGGTGAAGCTAAAGCACGAAGGTGTCTTAGTGACTCTCCTTGGACAGAGAGTCCCAAAAGGTGGGTACCACTGAAAATATGCTCTGCTCCACATCACCTTTGAAATTATTTTACAGAGTGGCTAGTTGCTTCAATTAATTTGAAGGATTTCACAAAAGTTTATATAAAACAGCTCAACTGTGAACTCATCTACTACTTTAAAAATAACGTCCCTGTCAGAGAAACAAATCTAATAGATATTTAGATTTGCTAATAGATACTTAGGGGGGAAATTAAGGAGATATTAGAAGTGGCATTTATATTATTGCTTGAGATAACACTACTGAAAAGAAATGGCACCCCCTTCCACCTCAAGAAAGCCACCACCACCCCCCGCCAGATATTGCTAAATGAGTCACCTTTTTAAAATGCAACCTGTGTTGTACGGCTGTACAGCAGGTTCAAAAACTTATTTGCTTGCTTCTGTCCTTCTCAGACTCCTTGAGCGGAATTCCTAATGCGTGGCCTTGGAACGCTTTCCTGCCTCTTTAATGACTTTGTCAAAGGGAAATATTCAACAAGTAAAATGTTGTCCTTAGCTTCAACAAGGAGAGGAGCTGTACCTACCAAGCCCTATAGCTAGAGGTTTTAAAAAGAAAAATGGTTTGCATTTCAATATTCTAGTCACAATGGATGCAAGCTATAAGACCTATTGTGGCATTCCAAAGAGGGAACAAGCGAACTAGCTCCAGTCCCATCCCTGTTACCTTCTGCGTGTTCCCACCAGCAGTAGGAAGGTTAGGATAAGCAGTGAAGCCTCTGGTTTGGAAACCTGATTTCCCAGGGTTCCAAAACACATGAGAGGCTCCACAAGCACAGGAGACTTCCTCACTGCAGAAGGTGCCCTTCAACCTGCAGGTGCCAATGAGTGTGGTGGCAGAGTTTAGCAAGCCTCTGAAAAGTCACCGTTCCTTGCCTATTTAAGCCCAAAATGAACCACATGATTAGGGCTATAGATGGCCATTACATCTGAAAGTGCTTGTCATTCAAACCAGGGTTGATCCATGGTTTACAATCATGCTTTGGAGGGCAAACCATAGTTGTGGTTCAGATGTAATGGCGAATGAGTGGGTGAGCTTTGGAATTAAGCCATGGCATGAATCAACCCTCTGAGCTCACCCCTGTTTATTAACACAGGAATTGCTTCCATGGTTATGGAAATACAAGACAACCCCTACGCCTTGAGATGTGACTTGCTGTGTCTAATTCAGAAAACGTTTAATTTTAAAACATGTTGATAGTCTCATTGATTTGAGATTTTTTTTTAATACAATAAATTCAATCTACTGTGCAATCCAAAGCCTGTCTCAGCAGAAGTAAGTCAAATTCAGTGGGAATTTACTGCCAGGTCAGTGTGTATAGGATTGCAGTCATAGTCACATACAAACCGTTATGCTCAACCTTAAATTTATGCCATTTTAAGCTTAGAGTGTTTTTCCGTGGACAGTGCTGCCTGCACTACCAGGGTGCACTCCTGCTGACCTGAAACTGACCTGGTTTAGCAGCCTTTGATGAAAACAGTGTGCCTGGTACCTTGGAGCTGAATGTGTACAGCCATAAGGGATTTTTAGAGTGGGGTTACAACTCGTGTCAGGTTGACCTTTTCCGAACCCATCCTATGGGGGGGGGGGGAGGAAATACAGTCAAAAGTAGTATCAGGCCAAACCCCATCTGCCTTGGTTATAGGTTATCTTTTCACATGTGTGCTCTGAACTTTGATGACACCTTAGATTAGAAGAGTTGGTACTTCAGATCTCAGGTGTTGGTCCCCTTGACAGCCAACCATAAAGCAAGCTGCATGCTTTTGTGAATTCTGTTGAATCATCTGAATAATAGCATTAAACAACTCTTGATGCCAGCTCAGTGCCCTAGACTCTGATTCATAAGCTCTGCTTTCAAGAACAAGAAACCAAATGAATGTTTATTATTTCCTTAATTGCTGGGTAGAGGTGCAACATTAGATTGGACTAATGACTTTTTTTTCTTGCTTCTTAAAAAGAACTATTCTGGCTTTACTGTGTTGTAACTGGACTTTTCCATAGGTGGCCCACTAAACAGGACCTCATAGCACCAGGTGGTGGACAGAAGTCATTTTCTGACACAAATGCAGAAAGCAAAAAGAACCTTACAATCCCCCAATAATTTCATGTGTGGTTTGCATACAATGTTCTTCTACAAAGGAGGAGAATACTCATAAGAGATTCCCACCCATCCCCAATTAAACCTCTGTTGCTGTACCTTCTGTACAGAACATGTGTAACAGTCACAATGTTTTGCCACTTCCATTCACATTTTAAAATTGGGATGGGATGGCCTTGGAAAAGGATTGGAAGTCAATAGGGTTTCTCTGTGTTGTCTTTATTTTCTTTCCTTTTTCAGACATAGAGCAGGGCAGGGGATCGTTCACAGGTGAGATAACCTGTTATTAAAATCCTGAGGAAATGCATTCTGTGTTCTATGCTGACCGGTGCTATGCTTCTCTTTGGATCGTACTCCAGAGCTCACAGTTGTGGCATGGAAGTCACCTATCACAGAACACAGATACATCCTCTTTGGAATGCAGCATAGAGTCACTTCTGGAGATAGCTGATCACTTCAGTATGGGGCTACTCCTATCCCTGTCCCTAGCAGAATACGTTAGGTATGAACATGGGTTCTCTGCTACCATTTTCTGAGCCGGCCACCTTGCTATTGAGGATAGCGCAAGGCAAAGGCTAGGCTACCTAGGGCCCAGGAGAAGGACAGGTTAGTCTCTCCTTTGGCCAGAGTTGTCACACAGGCTGAATCCTTTTCTGTGGCTCTCTGGATGCTGCCGGTCCACTCTCTATGTCCTGACCACCCATCTGGCAACCAACCACCTCGTTTGTTGTATGTGGTGAGAAGAGGTAGAGAAGGCATGGGGTGGCATAGACAAGAGAGGAAGGGCTATTAGTCACGTAATGCTGAAAACTCCACCTACTTTTGGCTGTGGCTCCACCCACCACCTGATCTGTTTCTGCCCATGATCAGCTGCAGCCCTGACTGACTTTAACCCTCAATCAATGACCTTTTCTCAGAAAAAGGTTCCTCACTGCTGCGCTAGAGGAAGACTCCCATTGAGGCATGAAACATTTGGATCCATCCTAAAGAGTGTTGGGGAAATAAAAGCTGAGTGCTGAAAATCTCTTGTTATTGTTTTTGCTGGTGGGAAATCATAGACATCGAAACAAATGTTTTCCTTTCTGAAACAAGTCCCAGTGGGTTTTGATTAATGGTGGTTTTGGTTGTTGTGGTTATTTAAGTTTGGCTTGTTGCTTGGTCAGTTTCCAGCACATCCCTTTGCTGAGATGCTGGGAGCTTGTAAGATGGGGCATGGGGAGGCCATGATCTTGTTTTCAAGAAGCAATTTCTCTGTGACTCTGAAGACCAAACTTGTCAAACACTGATCAGAAGAAGGAAACAAATGCCTTGGGGTAGGGCGAGTGGCCAGGGGTCTTCATGGAAACATTTCTCTCTCTCCTTGCTTGATGGAATCCATGGCTGGCCAACAGGAAATTGTGATTTACATTTTCAGCACACAGAAAATTACCCTTCTTGCAAGCACCCTGCCCTCTGTCTAAAACTAGCTGAGGATGGCCTCTAGCTATTAACTCTGATTGCCACCCCCCTGATAGCCTCTCTGGTAATTTAGAGGTGGGTAATTAATTCTGAACTAAGAATGCGCCTGGGAACCTACACCTGGATAAACTCAGCTGAAATGGGCTTTCATGTTAAAAGCCTTTTAATACAGAAATGAGCTGGAGGGGTGTTTCGTTTGTTTTTGTTCTTGCTGTATGTTTTGCCCTCAGTCCTGCATTTCCTGCCTGAAAGCAGGAAATAGTTGAACAAGCTAAGGATCTTATGAGAGAGGCAGAGACCTGAATCCCTTTCCTGATTTGCATGTTGCATTCTAGCTCTTAATTACTTGGGTGACTGTTTGATGCACAACCAACACCTCTGGTCTGCGCTTTCCTTTTTGACTGAATAGTCTGAGATTTCTGAGAATAAATTGGGAATTAAAGTCATCAGCTCTTAAGGAAAGGAAAATTTGTGTGCGTGGAATAAAAGAGTAGAAGACCTGTGGTGGGAGAAAGAGCTCTCAAAATTCTCCTGCCTGCAGAGCAGCCAAAAGCAACAAAATATTGTTACTAAATTCTGCAATCTTATTGACAATCCAAACTATATAGCTGGTTTCTCTTTCTCCCCCTCCCCCCCCCCCCGGCATGTTCTTAGGTTCTACACCACACTGGGGACTCAGCAAACAGAATTTTAAATGTGTTATAAGCATGCAACACCAGATGGTGCTGTAGAGCACAAAACTTTTCTATGTGATTTTACATTGGGTTTGTAATAACAATTTAATTTATGACTTATTTATAGTGGGTTTTTCCTGTGTGTAGTTCCACTCTGGGTTAATTGAAAGAATGGAGTTGGATTTCTCATTAGCTGCAGAAGATCAGGAGAGGGGGTTCTTCTTTCCTGATATGAAATCTACAACATTTTTTAGAATGCCATTTCTTTCTTTCTTATTTATTTATTTAGAGCGTTTGTATGCCGCTGTTCAGCCAAAAAGGCTCCCACTGTGGCATACATGAAATCAAAACTAAGACACTCCCTACCTGTAGGCTTACATTCTAATAAATAAGTAGATCAGAATACAGGGCTTTCTTTTTTTTCCAGCCGGAACTTACCGGAACTCGATTCCGGCACCTCTCAGCTGAGTGCCATTCCCATTATAAGAGAACAAGGGAGGTGTTCATGGTGAGTTCCATGAAAAATAGCACTGTGAAACTACCAACACTCAAGGGAAAAGGGACCAGG